CGCGGCGGGGAGCGGAGCCGGCTCCATGGCGGAGCCCCGCGGGCGGGCGCTGTCGGCGCGGGCGCGGCTCAGCTACGCCGTGGGGCACGTGCTGAACGACCTGTGCGCCTCCATGTGGTTCACCTACCTGCTGGCCTACGCGCACGCCGTGCTGGGCTACAGCTCGGCGGCCGCGGGCGCGCTGCTGCTGACGGGGCAGGTGGCGGACGGCGTCTGCACCCCGCTCGTGGGCTACGAGTCGGACCGCTCGGCCGGCTGCGGCCGCTACGGCCGGAGGAAGTCCTGGCACCTGGCGGGTGAGCTCAGTGCCCGCTGCCCCCGCTGCTCCGTCCTCCTTGGGGCTCTCCATCCGTGGAGGGTTTTACGGCCTGGGGGGAGTGGAGTTGGGAGCCGGGCTTGGAGGAGATGTGGCCTCCGGAGTTCCCCTCCAGCCCGGTCCTGGGTCTAGACTCATCGCTTGGTTGCGGTGAGCCCCAGGCACTTAAATGCCTCTCAAATCGGGCCGTGATCTCCAAGGTCCCAGCCTTGGAAATGAGTGTGCAGGCAGCGAGGCCCATTTAAATGGATGGAGTGCGATTAGTCGGGGGAGCAGTGTTTAACCCTCCAGGTGGGCGCGGGCTGGGTCTAGGCCAGGGGCTCTCCGCCTGAGGGGACAGCGTTTTGCCGTCACCCGTGTGTCGCCAACGGACGCTAATGTGGCGCTGCTTGGCAGGACCTTGAGGCTGCGGCACCCCGGCGGAGAAGCTGCCCCTCTGAGCTGGAGGAGGCGTGCAGGGGCCTCCGGGGAGGATGGCAGGGCAGCAAGGCTGGAAGGGATCTGCAGCGGTCATCTAGGTCGGCAGCTGTCTATTTGTACATCCGTATTAACACGGCGCTCAGCCCCCGTCTGAGGCAGGGTCGTGCTGTCTGCCCCATCCTAGACAAGTCCGTGTTTAGCCTGTGATCAGCTCTGCAAGGCACAGCGCCCTGACTTGGTACAGGTAAGGCGGGGGGAGTCAGTGTCCTGCTGCTCCCAGGACTGTTAAAAGACACTAGTGTGCTCCCAGGGAGGGGGCTGCAGAGGAAGGCAAACCCCTCGCAGTCCACACCAACCTGACCACGTACCCCGGTGCCGTCCTGACCCTAAATGCGGCTGGTGTTGGGATGTCGGAGATAACTTAAGCTGATCAAGGTTGCATATGAATTATTAACAGTTAAAGTTGCTTTGAGTCTGGGACAGAGGCTGGATCCGAGACCTGGGCTATATTTAAAAAAAATAAATAAAGTCTAGGGGAGTCATGTGTCTGGCTGATTCCCATGTAGATGTGCTGTGCTGGCAAATCACCTGAGTTGGTACCGTCAGGGAAGGCTTGTGTCCTGTACTGGGGCAAATATCCCTAAGCAAGTGTGTCCTATGCTGTGTCTGAACTGCAGGGAAGCCAGCCCTGCTGCAGGTCACCGTTTGGGAGCATAGTCCATGGACTCGTGCTTTACCGCTGGGCAGTCAGCCCCTCTTCCCCCCACCACAACCCTGCAGTCAGCCCCTCTTCCCCCCCCATCACAACCATCACAGGCTTTGCATTCTAGCGTGCTACACAGGGCTCAGGTCTCCTGAGAGGAAGGGTAAGGAAGAAGTAACTAGGTGTGCAAGTGCCTGCCCATGGGGATTTCTGTGCTGTTGTGAGGCTTTCCAAGTTGCTGTGATAGGCAGGGCTCTCATGGTGCAGGCTCATGCAGAAATTCAGTTATGATGATGAAGAAATGGATACCAAAATGAGATAAAACATCCCAAATGCTTCATTTTGATAATGATGAAGCAACTTCTAGCTTTGCAGTCAGAAATGCAGAACCCCAGAGCTTTGGGGGGGGGGGGGCGGGGGTGC